CCCGCCTTCACTTAGGGCGGGCACTTGGCTTGCTGGGGCCTTAGCCCAGAACAATGTGATGTCTGATAGGGCCACTTGAGGGCTTGTTCCTCACATTCCATCCCCCTTAGCTTCGAAAGTCCGCTGAGATGCTTCATGCTGGTGCCTTCCCCTTCAGTCTTTTCTCATAATCGGCCACGATCTGAGGAGCTGTCTTGACAAGCTCCTCCCTTGAAATCCATCGATCTTCCTTCGGATCTGTATGATACCTGAAATGTACTCTGTATTCCCTCGCAGGTTTGGGAGGTCTTCCCCTGCCAGATGGCTTAGGAATAGGCGTATCTCTGTGATCCAGGATGTCGTGGACGTCCACATGGCCATCCATGGTTGGGGGCAGCATAGATCTTCGTGATGGGAATTGTGCTGTCTCAGCGAAAGGTGCACGTTTGGAAGCGTGGAAAACAGGGTAAGTGCGTAAGTGACCAGGGATAAGGATGACGTAAGAGGGACCATCCAAATCATTCCCCACGATATCCAGGACTTCCTAGGGACCGAAATATTGAGGCATTAGTTTCCTAGAGATGCCAAACTCCTGTCCCAACTCACTAGCCTTGACCCAGACACGTTCCCCTACCTGAAATGTGGACTGTCGGCGACGCTTGTTCTCAGAAGCAATCATGACTTCCTGAGATTTCTTGATATGTTCGACATTTTGCTGCAGCAGATTCTCATACTGGACACCAAATTCAATGGTTCCGGGAGTTGCAGCAGCTCGGTTTTCAGGTAGGAGGAAGTCTAGAGCAGATCTAGGCTTCCATCCCAAATGTAGTTGATTAGGACTGACACCGATGGTGCTGTGTACAGCGTTGTTGTACAGACTGGCGATGAGAGGTAACTTCTCATCCCAGTCATCCTGGCTGGGCTTGATGTAATGCCTCAGCAGATGCTGCACCACTCGGCTCATTTGTTCAGCCTGCCCATTTGCTTCGAAGCTGGCTGCCCATCTGTTCAGCGGCCTTCTTCCACATCTCGCTTGTGAATCTCACATCTCTATCACTAACGATAGTCTTTGGAAGTCCAAAGTCATGCACCTAGTTGTCCATGAACAACTTGATGACGTGCTCAGTCCTGGCAGTTTCTGGCATGGCGATTAGTCTAGCGTACTTAGTGAACCTATCTACTATGACGAAGATGTGCCTCTTGCCATTCTTGTTGGTCACGAGAGTATCCATGAAGTCCATGGAGATACTATGTCCTGGACCAGCAGGAATGGGTCAAGGCTTGAGTAACCCAAGCGGAGCTTGAGTCCGCGGCTTGTCCCCCTGACAGACCTGACAGGTCTCCACAGACTTCTTCACATCGTCAAGCATGTTAGGCCACCAGAATCGATGTACTAAGTTAGCACTAGTCTTCTTATAACCGAAGTGTCCCATTGCGTCGTGGCACTCACCTAAAAATAAACTACGCAAAGTTTTCCCTAGATGGAACAACTAACCTCTTGAACCCTGCCTTCTCACGAAAGAGTAACCCATCCACCATCACAAACTCGTCAGAGGTGGCCTTGTCTTTGGCCTGAAGTTTGTTGATGATGTCCATCGTGATGGGATCTTCCTTGTAGGCTTCTCCCAACGATCGAGTCACGTCCTCAGACAAACCAAACTCAGAAATCATCGCACCTAGGTAATCTGCCCTCCTAGACAACGCATCTGCAACCTTGTTGTATTCTCCCTTCAAATAGTCTAGTTTGAAATCATATTCATCTATGACTTCAATCCAGCGTTTGAGTGCATCAGAGAGAACTGGTTGCGTCTTGATCCACTTGAGGGTCTGATGGTCAGTTCTCAAGTAGAAGAACCTTCCTAACAAATAGTGTCTCCAGTGGACAAGTGCCTTGTAAAGAGCGTAGAGTTCCCTCTCATAGGTGGACTTTGCCAACTTCTTTGAAGGCATCTTTTTGCTCATGTACTCGATCGGTCTCAACTTCTTCCCTTCCTGCTGAGCCAGCACTGCGCCAATCTCATATTGGCTTGCGTCAGTGGTTACAACGAATGGCCTTTGCGGGTCGGGTACCATGAGAACCTCATGATGCGTGAGAGCATGCTTCAAACGCTTGAAAGCTGCCTCACACTCGTCAGTCCAGTCCCATGGTGTGTCAAGACGAGTTAGATCAGTCAAGGGAGATGTGATCATACTATAATTCTTTACAAAATTGCGGTAATAACCACACATTCCCAAGAATGATCTGACCTCAGTCACAGACTGGGGTCGTGGCCAGTCACGTATACTAGCCACCTTAGCATCTTCGGGCCTAATCCCATCCGCGGATACTTCATGACCCAAGTACAAGATTCGAGTGCGACCAAACTCACATTTCTTTACATTTATCTTATACTTGTGCTGTAGGAGGAGTGAAAGTACAATGTCTACATGTTGAGCATGCTCCTTGACAGATCTACTAAAGATAAGTATGTCGTCGAGGTACACGACAACAAACTTGTCCAAGTAGTCATGGAAGATCATATTCATGGCGTGCTGGAATGTACCCGACGCATTGCAAAGGCCAAAGGGCATCACCACAAACTCGTACAGACCGTACCTGGTCTGAAATGCGGTTTTGTGCTGGTCCTCCGGTCTTATAGCAATCTGATGGTAGCCGGATTTTAAGTCTATCTTTGTATAGTACTTACACCCCTGCACCCTATCCAATAGGTCGTCGATGCATGGTAGAGGCTCTGCGTTCTTAACGGTGATGGCATTGAGGCCTCTATAATCAATGCACATCCTTAGTGTTCCCCCTTTCTTTGGAACGAAAAGAACTGGTGAGCCAAAGGGGGAAGTGCTAGGCCGAATTCAGCCCTTCTCTGTGAGCTCTTTCAGTTGTCGCCGAAGCTCGTCCAACTCGGCCGGAGCCATCCTATAGATTCTACCCTTAGGTCTTACTACCTGGGATGATCTCTATGGCATGAACAACCTCCCTGTCTACGACTTCTGTAGGCTCCTCGAACAGATCAGGGTACTTAGCGACAATGGTCTCTATCTCTGGGGGTGTTTTAACGGCCTCCCCTTTTGCAGAGACATAGACTAAGTACATTCCTTCCTCTTGGTTCTGTTTATAATAATTATAGAAAGCAGATGTGCATAAGCACCCGTAGGAGTCTACTAACCTACTGGCTTTGTACTTGGCCAATCTCACGGTTCTCCCACTAGGCAACTCGTGCTTCAACACTTTCTTGTCCCAGTCAAACTGGGGCTTGGCAACCTCGAGGTCGTACATGCCCAACAACATGTGAAAGGGCAAATCGTCGCTCACTAGGAATGATATCTTATGGTTTATCTCTCCTCCTGGGTAGGAGAAGGTGCAGACTACATCTTTAACGTAGTCCTCCACCATCATGCGCTCTTTGTTGGCCAAAGTAGATGCTACCGGTCTACAAAGGCGCTGCACCCGGTCCTTTAGGCACAGTCTGTCAATGCAGTTGCGACTTATGAAGTTTCGTGTGGAGCCAATGTCTACGAAGGCGCCGCACTTACGACCGCCCACATCAACTTCCACAACGAAGTGCTCCCCTCTAGGACCTCTACTCAGTGCCACCCAGGACTCACGAGGGTCCCTTGCCGGCCACTCACCTTGAAGGTCCTCTAAGGCCTCAGACACATCCAACGTACAGAGTATAGTTGGGTCCAGTTGCGTCTGCGGGGTGACTAAGGAGTCAATAGTTTTGGCCATCTCTTGAAACGGGGAGGGTACATCACCCGCTTCAACGAGAGTAGAAGCAGCTATAACTTCTACTGGCCCTAAGGCCCCAGATTGAGAAGAAGAGAACTCACCCTTAGGAGGGATCTTCTGCGAGACCTTCGGGTTCGTGCATTTGAACTGTATGTGACCATACTCACCGCAGTTAATACAAGCACCTCGAGACCAACGGTCCCGCCACACTTCTTGATCCAGACCTGCTCTAACCCAAGCAGCTATTTTGTTTGGGTTAGCGGTCTGCCCCTGACTCCTTTGTTGACTGCCCTTGCTGCGGCCAACTGCCTTAGTCTTAACTACAACGGCGAGGTTGCTACCCTCAACACTCTCCTCGCCGTCAAACTCTGAACCCTCCACAAGATCGGAAACATCATCGATCTCAGTTTGATTTCCATCGGAATATAACCATCATCAATCGACTACCCTTCTTCTTCCACTCTTGTGGAGTCTTCTTCTTTCTCCCATCCGTAGGAGGGGTTTGAGCTCCACCCAGCGTAGCCTCTAAGTCTAGGGCCTTCTTGCTGAATGACTCAAAGGTGTGATACTCTCTGCGAGCCTCGCTGGCTAATAAATTCCTAATGTCTGTGGGAAGACATCTCAAGAACATGGTCAGCAAGACCTGTGGATTGTACTCCACTCCCGGGACGACGATCAGGCGCTCTACGGCTGTGGTGAGTTCCCGCACAAACTTGTACTTTCTAGTATCAAGTTTCAAGAGCCCTTCAGTGGCAATTTGTGCCTGCTGAGGGTTGTGCCAACGAGCCTCCACTAAGTCCATAAAGCTTTCTAATGTATGGGTCTGCGCCCAATCATGCATGTTCCTGCCAAAGCCCTTTGAAGCTACCAATCCGTTTAGCCAACGGGCTGATGAACCCTCTGAGTAGGATGCAGCAGTAATCACCTCCTCTTCTACCAATGTCCTTTTGACCCTCACCCACACTGGCACCGTTCTCAACCATGTGTTCATAGCCTCATCCTTCTTGTCTCCTGAGAAGGTTGCAGGTGGGTTCAGTGGGGTCTTGGGATACCGAGGATATTGTTGTCCCGCTTGCGAGACAGGTGGTGATTGTGGTGTAGCAACAGTCGCCGGACCAGAAGATGAAGAAGCAACAGTCTGAGACATTGCTTCTGTTGATGAAACACTTGGTGGTGGTCCTGACTGAGCGGCATAGAGGCCTGTCATCGCTGAGAGTGGCAGCGATGGTAAAGCTACTGGCCGGATCCCTGGCTTATGCAGCGCTTGCAGAATCTGGTCTAGAGTATCCTGCATTGCGTCCATTTTACTGTCTATGTACGCATGCATGGATAGGACACTTGCCTTCAGGATCTTTCCTCTAGTGTTGAGTGCAGAGTCCTCTAATGCCTCTAGTGCAGCCATGTCTGCCTCCCTGCCCTCTAATCTGACACTTCTTTCTTTGATCTCTTTCTCTCTCTTAGTAGCTTGCCTAAGTTCCTCCTCTAATCTCAAGCGGATCCTCTCTACTTGTTGGAGCTCCATCTGCTCCCGAGTGCATGGAGGCGGCGAGCTGAACTGCGAGCCCGCCATTTGACTAGTGCCAACCCCTGACGTACTGGAGATTGACTGTGAACTGGTCGGCATGCCTAGCCCTTGACCAGTTGAGTTCGCAGCAGATGCTGCGGAAGTAGTCATTGCTACAGATCTAGCTGCTGCTGCTTCTCTTGCAGCCTCAAGATTACGGGCCCTAGCTTCAACCCTTAACCTTCTCTCTTCTCCCGGTTGTAGGGTCTGGAACACTCTAGGAATTCTAAGGGATGATAGCCTTGTTAACCTCCTATCGTCATCTGCACCCTCACCACCCTTTGATCCACTCATAGGTTAGGCAGACGCTGTCTGCACTAATGTCCTCGCTGGAACCTACCGCAGCATGCGTCTGACCAGATCTAAAAATAAACAAATAAATGTCCGGCGAGTTACCTAGCCTACTAGTCAAGCGTCATCAACAACATCTACACAAACTGTACACATTGTCTAAGTCTATTCTGATTAGTCTGCACAGAAGATTCGAGAAGAACTGACTATGGTAGATCACAATCCTACTCTAGTCTGTCTGTTAGGTGTCAGCAGTCGGTCAACCAACTAATCAAAGAATAAAACTTAGACTAATGTGAGCAGATGTATGCACAATGGATATGTCAGTGATGTACAATTGAGTTCACAATTGGAATCCCCTTCCCCTGTATCCAACGTACATGTGAGCATCATCAAGCTGCGGTGTATAAGGTGTGCAACCACGGCCCACCCCTGTGCCCAAGAAGTATGCTTATGACCAGCCTGCCCCTTTGTTTACCCTCACGTGCAACGAGCCTTACGTCTGACTGATCAGGCTGATCAGGAGGGATTTAAGGAGAGCCCCCATCTCCTCAGGAATTATTTAACGTCGCAAACAGGACGACGATCACAGCCAGTGGACAGTCCAGACCCCAACCAGAAATGTTTATAGACGGTCGGGGAGCATCTCAATAGGTCTGGTCAGTCCGCACACCTCTTCTATCAGCGCAGCAAAGAGCCTCAATGGACAAAGCAGCCATCGCATGCGTGTACTAATCCCATCGGGTTGGCATGGTGATCGTGACCCACGTGCTTCAACCAGGGCCCTTCAAAGGCACCGCCCTCTCCTGCCAGATGCGCCACCGGGAAGAATGTCGTCTCTCAAGATAGAGTGCACACGACTCCTTACCAAAGAGAGGACACTCAAGTTGGACTCACTTCCTCACGGTAAGAAGAGATTGAGAGGGTAGATAAGGAATGGGAACAACGTACCTGGAGATAGCTGCCCCCAACCACAGATTTCTCACCAATTGGGCTAATGTGCATTTCGATGACCGGTTAATAGCCTCGGTACCACCCACAACGCAATGTAGTGCCACCTCAGCCAAAATGCCACGTCAGCATACTCTCATCATCATGTATACATCCGCTGTCGCCACAGCTCCCATGCTGTCGCCACAACCTTCCAGCGGCTGGCCTCTCTACCTAGGCCCCGCTATTCAACCAGCGGCAAAGTATTCTCACTACACATGAAGCATCCTCAGCGCACCAAGTTACAATGTCACCGGTGTCAGGTAAGCGGTGATCATCAACCAGCTCCGATACCAAATTGCAAGACCATATGAGTGTGAGCGATATACATAAAACCAAGTTGCAAAATCACACAGCTGAGCAAGTAGTAGTATCCCAAGTAGAGAGTACAAAT